TCATCTTTGTCCTTGGTGGTGCATGGATACATCTAAGTGGTAGCGGTATTACTAACTTAGCGGCACTGCACGTCAGGGTTCCAGAACCCACTGTTGTTGAGTCCATTCTGACTCTCAGTGATCCTGTCCATGCTGTGACTGGCCTTGAGGTTAGCGGCCCACCACCTGTGCCACACGGCCACCCAGACTCATCCAGCTAAGTAAACTGCACCGCAAAGGACTTTCCTCAACAGCCTTGTGGTTTCTGCTGGCTCAACACCGGTGGGATCTTTGAAAAGCTTCTGAAAGTGGAACTACTCACCAATATACGTCACTCCTCTGAAATGGTGACATCTAAAAGAACTAAGCATCTTGGTTTCTTAAAGCTGCTGTGTTTAGGGTTCTATTCAGTTCAGTAGTTTCACGTGACTGCAAGTAACAGAGTCAGTTACATGCCCCCCACCCCACCCCCCACCCAGGACCTTGTTCTTTTCATAATGTTTTCAAATTTGTTGGCCTAAAGTGGTTATCAGCTTTTCTTTTTATCGTTCAAATGTCTGTATCAACTGCTTGTCTCATTTTTTATTTTTAACATTGGGTATTTGAGCCATTCTTTTTATTGATGTCTGAATAGGTATTTATTGGTTTTTATTAATATTAAAAATAAATAAACTTTAACTTTGTTCATCTCTCCATTATTTGTTTTCGGTTTCATTAGCGGTCTTAGTTATCATCACAAATAACCCCGTGTCAGCACTTAAGGACATCTACACTTTTTCATCATGATATCCAGTTGCTGCCTTCCTCCTATCCACACTCTTATTCATCTCATCTAATCTCCCTGATTAGTTGCTCAGCATAGAGATTGAATAAGTACGGTAAGAGAATATAACCCTGACACACACCTTTCCTGATTTTCAACTGCCTGTTGATCCACGTCCAAGTTCCTCGGGATCCTAATGAGGTGTGCTGGAGGCCCGTTCTTCTCAAGGCTGTCCACAGTTTGTTATGTCCACACAGTTGAATGCCTTGGCATAGTCAATAAAACACAAGTAAACATCTGACTAGTATTCTTTGCTGTCAGTCAAGATCAATCCGATGTCAACAATACTCTCCTTTGTTACATGTCCTCTTCTGAATTTGGCCTAACCCTCTGCCAGCTCCCTGCAGCCATTGTACTGTTGCAGCCATTGTTAGATGCTCTGCAGCAAAGTTTCACTTGCACGTCAGAGTGTTCTATAATTTGATCATTCTGTTGAGTCATCTTTCTTTGGAATAAGCACAAATATGGACCTCTTCCAGTCAGCTTTGGACTTCCAAATGAACAAGCAAATCTGTGCTGGAAGAAGTACAGCCAATATGCTTCTTAGAGGCAAGGATAACTAGACTTCATCTTAGGTACTTTGGACATGTTGGCAGGGAGATCAGTCCCTGGAGAAAGGTGCCGTGCTTGGTAGAAAAAAGAGGCAGCGAGTCAGAGGAATGTCCCTGATGGATGGACGGACACAGTGGGTGTAGCAATGGTCTCAAACATAAGAACATTTTTGAGTTGGCACAGGACCAGACAGGGTTTCATTCTGTTGTACATCGGGTCATCATGAGTTGGAACCAATGCGACAAGCCCTAGCAACAGAAACAACAATAACACAGCTGCTGTGAGCAACTGTGGAAGCTGCCTTTTTTAAAAGGCTAATTTTCATATCTAGAATATCCTGTTGGTTATATACCAGTCTTATTTGATGTGGGATGGAACTATGCAAACACATTAATATCAGAAAGTAAAAATTACTTGGGGCGATTTTAAAGTTGATGAGTTCTCTACATTAGCTTTTGCTTTTTTCTTTACTATCTTCCCTCTTGGACTTTCTTTGTGTTTGTTTTTTCCTTGTCTATCCTATCAATAAAGGAATGACAGCTCACTTCTTTAGATTCAACAGTATAAATTATATTCATATTAATTTTAGTTGCTTTCTATAAGATTTCCAATGTAGGAATTAAAAAATTGTTTCAATTAAAATCATTTTCTAATTCCAACTTTCTTTAATACCTGAGTTACTTAGGATTTTTGCTTAATCTTAAAACCTATGAAGATTTTCTAAGTCTTTTGAAATTAAAAAAATTCATGCTTGAGTGTATTATGGTCAGATAACATATGTTGCTATTGACACTGTTGTATGCCACAGGCTAGAGTCAAGGCTTGCAGATGTCCCTTGTGAACTTGAAAATGTGCCCTTCAAGAAGTATGAATAATTACTTGGTACAAGGCTCTATATAAGCTCTTTTAGTTAAATTTGTTAATCAAATGTTTTAGAGTCTCTGTTGTAGGAGTTGGAATGAACTCAATGGAAATGGGTTTGCTTTTGAATCCTTACTAATCATTTTGTAAAATTTGCTCTTTGTGTCAATAAATAGGAAATGTGAATTAAGTCCAATCGTTATGATAACTTTTTCTGTCTGTATACTTCTGTACACTTTTGCTTTATATGCTTTTATCTGGTATTTCTTATGTTTCTTCAATATGTAATCTGTCTTGGAAGAAGAAGAGGCAGAATATCCCCTGGAAGGTTTCCCACATCTTTTGGACATGATATCAGAGAGATGGTCCCTGGAGAGTGACTCCATGCTCGAGGAAGGAGATCGGAAGGAACAAAGAGGCAGACCCTTGATAAGGTGGACTGATCTAGTGACTGCAGCAGTGGGCTCAGACGTATGCAGGTGCAGGACCAGTGGGATTTCATCCTGTTGGATGTCTCACTGCCATCGAGTCAATTCTCACAACCGGGACCCCAGAGGACAGAGTAAAACTGCTCCTGTGGGTTTCCGAGACTGTAAATCTGAACAGAGGTAGAAAGATTCCTCTTTCTCCTGTGAAGTACCTGGTGGTTTTGAACTGCTGGCCTTGCAGTTGGCACTCCAAGGAATAATCCACTGCACCATCAGGTCTTGCCAACTTGATGGCATCTAACAACATGTATATATTAAATTATATACATTGGAAACTGTGTGCAGATTGAAAATTGTTATGTCTTACAGGCAATTTTTTTTATCCTTAGCTGTGCTTTTTCACTTGATTTATAATGAACGATATAACTCACATTTGCTGTTTTAAATTTTTTGTTTAATATCCTAAAGCTCTATCAATATTTGTTTCTCACTCTCAGAAACATTACTTCTAACATTTTCTCTATCCAATGCTTTTTCTTTTTCATTTTATTTGGGACTCTTACAACTCGTCACAATCCATACCTCACTTGCATCAGGCATGTTTGTATATATGTTGCCTTCATTCTTTTCTAGACAGTTACTTTCTATTGAGCCCTTGGGATCAGCTCCTCTCCCCGCACTTCCCCTCCCCAGGCCCTCCCTTGAGATATTGTACATTGTTGTTATTTTCATCTCTCACACCAATCGGTCTCCCTTCCTCATTGTTTTCTGTTGTTCATCCCCTGGAGAGGCTTGCGTGGTTATCATTCTGATGGGTTCCCTCTTTCTCTCTTCCCCTAGCCCACTTCCCCCTACCCTTCGGTATCACTATTCCCACTCCTGTTCCTTGAATCTGTGATACTTCTTCTCTTTAAACTTTCCTTCTTGGAGTACAAGTTGCCATTTCTATACCATCTTTCTACATCACTTTCAGAGTTTTCCACCCTTGGCTTTTCTGTGTTAGACTGGGCATAATCTATTATGAACTGTTTTCATTTCACTAATGCGCTATGCATCTTTCCCGAATCTCTAGTTAAATCTAATCAGTGAACTTTTCCTTGTCTTTTATAGTTCCTAGTGATCTTGACCCTGAGTCAGAATTGAGTTGAGAGCACACAGGAGCAGCCCTTTGACAACACCCACAATGCTTCTTGAACATTCGCCTCAACGTGTTAAGCATGAATCCATTTTCTCTTACAATGATGAGCTCATATACACTGGAAAAACACTTCCTCATCTGCTCATCCCCAGAAGGGCAATTAAAAACCATCAACATCCCCACCTCCCATCCCCCCACCCTGTCCCTGAAAAAGTAAGACAAAAAGGAGGGTAGGTTGTTAGGTTACTAAATCCCATTGTTGATTTTCCAAAGGTTATCCTGTTTTGTTTTTACCCAGAAAGGAATAGTTCTATTTATTTTTATCAAACTAAGTTTGAATTGGCCCTTAAACAGGACTTTAGGCTGAAACGTTGTAATTCATTTCTACTTCTGTAAGGCGAAGTCTGTTGACGCCTGTAACCAGATGAGTACACTGAAAACAGTTGCAGGTAACTACCCAAGGCCTCATCTCATGGTTCAGAGCCAAGAGGCTTAGCAATACTGATCTATTAGAAATGAACTGAACATCCCACGCCTGCTCTGATGTTCTATGCATTTGAACTCGGGGAGAATGCTAGTTAGAGGAGGAATCGGGCCATCATACAATGCCAATTCTTGCTTTCATCTGTGGAGCCGTGCACTTGGCAAGCAGGGAAAGCACAAACAGGGAAAGAGGAAGACAATGATAGATATTTGAACATTGGCTTCTCTCATAACGTAGACTGCAGAACTCAGAGGTTCACAGCTGTATATGGTACTTTTTTGCTCTGGAGGGGCCTGGAGACCTTTGTCACTGAAGGACAGAATATATATTTTTTTGTCTTCCGGTACATTTGTCATGACCTTGACTCGCAAAATGGTGGGTATTAAGGAGCCTGTCTGTGTCCCATCTTCTTTTGATGTGATTTAGGTGTGGTTTTTCAAAACAGACCATCAGCTTTGGATTCAACAAATCAAACGCCTTTTGCTTCAGTTCATCCATTGCCATCCTCTCAGTGGACCATTGCTGACCCATGGCTTCCCTGTGCTTTCTGTTTCTACACTCCCTCCTTTCTTATGTTCCTAAGCCTCTGAGCTTCATCTTGTGTAAATGCTGTCCTTGGGATTTTACATGGTTGATTAGTCTAATCTGGGGCTGAGCTCTGACCTAGACCTGAAAGTTGACTGAGGGTCACAACTTATTCCTTTATTTCCACCCATTAAAAATCCAGACACATGCTTGTTGTTGGTATTTACTTACAGTTCAAGTTTTCATATACTTAGGGATTTACTTTTACCAAATATGTAACTTTTTTTTTTGTTTTTTTTAAATCACCTGGAGCCTAGAGTTCACAGTACAGAGCTCTGTGAAATATGGTGCCGATGAGAAGTTTCCCGTGATACACAGAAGCTACAGTGCTGGCTTGGAGCACAGAGCCATTATTGGCATACACTGTGCTCACTCTGGGATTCTTGGAGAGAACATTCTGGATGCGGAGCACCTGTCAAGAGAAGACATGTATTAGAATACCTACGGACATATAGCATCCAGTAAGAGTTTCCTTCCCAAGTAGTTCATGACCCATTTTTTTCAGAGATCTGTAAGCTAAAATCTGTAGATCTTCAATAGATTTATCTTCATCTGGTAGAAGTAGTAGTTTTCTAATGCTATCTGTCCATGAAAGCAGATTGGGTATGTGACCCTAGGCAAATGCCTTATGTAATTTTAATGATTTTAGGCATCTCTTATAGAAGGAGGTAAGAACCAGAGGATGTTGGTCTCTAATTCTTGAAGGGATACTAATCATCTGTCTGCAGGAAGATCGTTGTCTTTGAGCATAAGGAGGGGAGGAAACACAGGACAAAATGACGCAGATGCTACCTATTCCAACAGGGCAACCTGTGGGCAAATAGCCACCACAGAAGGGGACCTCACATGCAAAGTTGCTAAAGAGTCTGAAGAATTAATACTTTGGAGTTAAATCTGACACTTCACTGCCTAGGACTGTACTTTATCCCCATAACGAACACACTTAATTTTGTTAACCAGTAAACACATAAGAGCCTGGATAGAATTCTTTTAAACAGAAAAATTAAAAAGAATTTAAAGAAAGGGGTGGGGGCGGTGTAATTGGAAATTCATGAGTCTACCTAAACATCTCTATTTCAAAGTTTTTGGTTTTTGTTTTTGTCTTAGGATTAGTCTACTTCTAAACTTTAGGTTTCTTAGGGAAAATAATACTCAAGATTAATCAAAGCTTGAGTATTAATCAGAGCTTTTAGTTTCTATTTTGGATCTTTGTGTGGAAAACAGGAGATTAAATTAGAGTAAAGGACACCAGTGATTTTGAAAAGAAGTCTTAATTGAAAATCAAAAAAGATTAAATTTTAAAATAGATACATAAAATGAACCTAAGTTAATGAAGTCCATATCATCCTAGGCATCATAATTTTATTTCCTTAAAGCAGACATAAGGTGGCATACATGGTTACATCCTAGACTACTAACCAAAAGGTTAGCAGGTCAAATCTCCCCAGAGATGCCGTGAGAAAAAAGCCTGGGGATCTGTCTCTAAAGAAAATCCAGAGTCGACCCCAGTTGTACTCTGCATACATGGGGCACTGTGAGCTGGAATCCACTCGACAGCAAATAATGACAACAACAACAATAATAAGCAAACATCGTGAAGCAGATGGGAGCAGAGTTTCCCTGCGGCTTCTTAAGGTCTATTTCTGGGGCAAGGGTAGCCTGCTGGTGTCGGGAAGTAATTTTTCAGACTCTAGGCTCAGGCTGAACTTCTGCTTCTTGTGTTTTTTTGGAGGGTTCTTTTTAAGAAGCTGTGATTAGGATATCAATAAAAGTCTGATTTATGAACTGAAAAGAGCCACGCTGGAAGTAAAACAAAACACATGTTTTAATGTAGCCACTAGGCCATTCTTGGCTATGATTTGCATCTCAATTTCTCAATTCCACAGATGTGTTCAAAGGTTAAAGATTTCTTCTAATCTTACTTTCTCAGTGAGGGCTACACTGGTCACGATCACGGATCTGGGGAGCGGTCCTTCCACTTGCTTACAGCAATCATGATCACCTTCACCCTGCTAAATTATTTGTTGCCAGAGAACATAGCACCTTCAAACAATACATAGTTTACTTATTTCTTATGTTTAAGAGAGGAGCCCTGGTAGAGTAGATGTTACACCATGTGCTGCTAACAAGATCAGGAGTTGGAAGCCACCTGTCACGCCATGGGAGAAAGACAAAGCTTTTCACTTCCATCAAGGGATAAAGTCTTGGAAATCCCCAGGGTAGTTCTACGCTATCTAAGAGGATTGCTGTGAAGTGGAATTGTCTCAATGGCTGTGAAGGGTTCTGTAGTTGTTATTGTTGGTTCTCTTTAAGAACAGGATTCTCTTTTATTTTCTGATTGCTCCTAAGCCTTAGAACAATGCCTGGCACATTACAGGATTCAATACATTTTTGGGAAAGATCACTCAAAGCACATATGCCAAAAATGATATCTTCATATGCAAAACATACATAAAAATGAATCCACCTTTAATTTTTCTACTTTTAAATTCAATGTCATAGGAAATACAATGGTTTGTGCTATTATTTTAGAAGGTATGGTTTTCAATAATAAAAATCACACCTTTAAAGTGAGACATTCACCACCACCATCATATGATAGAAATGGTAGGCAAAAATGAATTTTGTTTTGAGATTACAGTCAGGTAAACCCTTTGTCTGAGCTTCATGTCGGCGTGTATGGTGAAAAAAATGTCAAAAAGCAGTTGTGCACAGAATCTTCCTTTGCTTAACTGCTGGGTCTGCTCAGAGCCTGCATTCTGATTGGAAATAAGATATAGCAACCAGGACAGCAGGGTTACCAGGCTCGTGTCTGCCCGTTCTTTTGTTAACAAGGCTGTTGGCGTTGTTAGGTGCTGTTGAGTTGGCTCCAGCTCATGGCAACCCAGTGTACACCAGGCAGGTCCTCCCAATGAAGGAGTAGGCTGTCTGGCAGCCATTGGCATGACTTGGGCATCTGATGGCTTGAAAGGGTTAATGAGACATTTCTCTCTATCCCACCAGAATCTTTCGTCTTTCCATTGTAGATGTGCTCAATTCTGGAATATGAAAGTCCTTCTTGCCAATTTGCTGTGCGCTGAGGGAAGGAGAGGAACTTACTTCTGAGCCAGGAGGATCCTTAGGGTTATAGAAGAGCAGCTTCATGCCATTGGGATGGCATCCTGCTAAGATATCTCCCGTGTCAGGATCAACAGTTAAATTATCCACTAAGGTGTCCAGCTGGATGACCTTGCAACAAAAAGGAAGCAGTGATGATATTGTCTCAACGTCCTTCCCTACTCCATCCCTCCAGTCACCACCGACTGTGTCTGAAATCGGCGTCCCTGTGGGCATGCTATACATGTATCTGAATTGTTATTATGATTTGAGAGAAAAGTTAAAGAGCTGACTGCTCTTCCATTCAACCATTCGTGTAGGTGTTGTTTCGGGACATTGACACAATGTATAGCACCCTTCTAACCCTTCCCTGGGCTGACTGCTTCCGTTTCCCTTCTTCCCAAGCAAGCCTTGCCTTCTGAGCTGTATCTCTGGGCAAAGACTACCATTTTGATGTCGTCTGGCTGATTGTTCCAATCTAAGGCATACCTTCCTGAAGTTACTGTTCATATTATGGACCTGTGGAGCACTTGGCGGAAAGTAGAGCCGTGGGGTGAGTTTGATTCCAGGCCTGACGAGTGGCTAAGGACCAGAGTCTCAGGGGTCCCATCAGTCTCCATGAGACCAGGAAGTTTAGACTTTATAAAATAGCTTTGAGTTCTACTCCACATTTTTCTCCCACTCTGTCCAGGATCCTCTATTGTGGTTCATTTCAGAGAAGTCTGCTGTGGTAGCTGGGCACTACCTAGTTCCTCTGGGCCTCCATCACTTCATGGGCATTTCAGAAGTGTCAGCACAACACAAGCTCACTGTCATTCCTCTAACGCTGTGCTGTTCTATTTCCTTCCTTGACGGAGCACATTCTTAGGTCAAACCTGCTGTTAAAATGTAAATGCCCATGTTGTGTGCACATGTCTGGGTGCTTTTACCTTCTCGTGAGTTAAATTCCAGTTGTCACTTCTTTTCAGTACATGGATGTTCTTAGCTGTTACATCAGCTACATAGACATACCTGTGAAGTAAACAATATTTTCATGTAAACATGCAGTAATGACAAATGATACTAAATGTTTACTGTGGAGGTGTAAAAATTCACATCAGCCCAAAGAACTGCTGCATGTCTTTCTGAAGCACAGTAAGAGAGGATAACAGAGCAGTGTCTTTAACCAGGCTTTTACTATGACATCTCACCGCAACGGAATCGACTCGGACTCACAGAGAGCCTACATCTGGTTTCTACAGGACACAAGCCATTATGGGGGCCTGTAGCCAGTCTTTCTTTTGTGCAGCGGCTGGTGTGTTTGAACTGCCAATCTTGAGATTAGCTGTCCAATGTTTACCTGACAGCACCACCAGCCCTTGAATGTATATACCTATCAAATCAGTGTGTTAAGATGATACATGGGCTCAGTCTCATCACTTAAGGATCACAATTTATTTCTTTTTAAGTGGGTCTCACATAAGGTCTATACAGTATAAGGATCTATACCACTAAACACAACTGCTTAAAAAAAACCAGGTGATCATGAAGCTAAGTCACAGTCATTTTTTCAAAAAGAGAAAGAGTACATAGAGTTGTTTCCCACAGGAAACTCTCTGTTCATCATTTCAAATTTACATGTAAATACTTATGGTACTTAAAAATATTTTTAAATGGAGCATTTTCTCACAAAATTGACTGCTCCATAAAATGAAGATTGTTTCCTCATAGCAGACTCTGCTGTAGGGTATCAGTGAGTCTAGAATTTGCACAATCACATGCCTAATCTCAGTCAGGACTCCCTTTCTGGAAAAGTTTTTGGGTAATTGAACTTAGTACTCTCGCTGCCAGCAAGCCGATGCCCATTCAGAGACCCTACAGGACAGGGTAGAAGTGTCCCTGAGAGTTTTCAAGACTCTAACTCTTTACAGTAGCAGAAAGCCCCATCTTTCTCCCATCGTGTAGCTGGTGGTTTTGAACTGCTGACCTTGCAGTTAGTAGCCCAACTCCTACCCATTCCACCACCAGGGTTCGTTGATTGAACTTAGTACAAGGGGTTAAATACCTTTTACCCTCTTGTAAAACCAGAGGTCTTACACGTTTGTTTTTCCCTTTAGTAGGCTAAGTAAACAAAGTCTAGAATGTTGCAAGAATTTGGAACAAGGACCTTAGATCCTTGAGTCCAAACCTCTTATTTTATTGGGGAGAAACCTCAATTTGGGGAAGATGACATTTTTAATGTGAACCCTGGTTCCTTCCTCCACACACCTAGACTACTTAAGCCTAAGAAAAGTACCGTCCCTGGGAGGAAGGAGCCCACTACTGGGTCAATGCCCACGGGGAAAGGTGGAGACCTTTGAAACGGGCTTACTGATTGTCTTGTGAAACTGTGATTCCATTGGCAGAACTAAATCCCCTGGCACCCATTTTCATTTCCTGCGGACTGTAGAACAGAACGTAAGTCCAGCGCAGATCCAGGAGTATCTCGAACAGGGACAGGAAGTTGGTGAAATAGTGGTCTCGGGTGGCGTAGAACTGCTCTGGGCCCACGACCACGATGTCATTCAGACTAAAGTGACAAAGAACAACAGGCGAAGGTAAGCACACATGAAATTGTGGCATTTGTGAAAATCACAACCCTTCTAAAAAGACCAATCTGTTCAAAAGTTTGAAAAATTAGACATGAACGAGTAGGAAAGTGGTAAAATAGAGTAATAAATAAATAAACAGCCAAACTAATTAATGAATTAAGGACCCTAAAGGAGTTGGATTAATGCAGTGACAGCACCAATGGGCTCAACATCGAAATGATTGTGGAGATGGCCCAGAATGGGGCAGTGGTCTATTCTGTTTCTAGTTTAGGTTTTTTTAAATTTCTGTTGCTATGAGTTGCAACTGACTCGATAGCACCTGACAACAACAATAATAGCAATTACATAAAATAATTTCCGTGAAAATGCATGATTTTACATTGATTGCCCTAGTGGATTTTCTTTCAAATGATTATTATCACTCTTCCTTTACACAACAGTGAGCCAAACATAAATGAATATAATAATAAACCTCAAATTCTAAAACATGTTGATTTTTATGCATTCATAATCGTGATCTATGATGTTTAAAGTGCAGTGCACCGATATTTCTGGTTCTTTTTGATTTTTTTTAAGGAGTGTGAATTGGGAATTGTACTTTTGTAGTCCCTACGTCTCACATACTGAGGACATGTTGTCAGGAGAGACTAGGGCCTGGAATAGGACATTGTGTTTGGTAAAGTTGAAGGTCTGTAGAAGAGAGGATGTCTCTTTATGCGGGGAATTGACGTTGGCTGCAGCAAAGGAACCCGATCAGCCGTGTTTTGTCCTGTTGAACACAGGTCACTGTGAGTCCCAATCGACTCGATGGCATCCAACCACAATGACATCAAGCCCCTTGAAGTTAGGCATAACCACGTGGTTTTCTACGACCAAGGAAACGTGTGCAACTTCCAGACGGGATACTTTAAGAGCCAGTGCGTGATCTGCCATGCTTTCCTCACTCTGCCGGCGTTTCCACCAACCTCCTTGATGAAGAGGGTGTTAGTGTCCCAGGGTCCTCAGTGAGGGCGGTGTGAAACCAAGACCCGGCAGCACCCACGTTGGAGATACAGCCTCAGTGAGGAAACATACACAACCAAAACGGTGTCCTAATGGATGGTTAGGGTTTTCAAGTTCCCTCTTACTATCCTCTTGCCCTACCCAGCCCAATCATGACATTTTCTTGGAATATATGGGTGTTTATTCTTTCTTATTCATGCTTTTAAACTAAACCACCCTGACCACCAGATAAAATGATTGAGCCATTTCATTTTGGGGAAGAAACAAAATCAAACCTGTCCCTGACGTCCTGAACACATTTTAAATGGTTTGGACAAGAGGCCAGCGGTGGTTATTACTTAAAGAACACGGAGTCTCTGTTCATGGGGATGGAAAGTCGAGAAATGTGTCATACAAATAATTGGTTACACACCATGGGAGGCTTAAGTAATGTCATATGAGGAAATGATGGAAATGGTGTTTGTTAATATATTTCATCACAACCAAAAAGATTCAAGCAATTTTAACTTAAATTTTTAGGAAAGAAAAAGTTAAATAATTAGGGAAATACTTTGAGGTGTTCTGGTACAATGACATTTTCAAAATCACTGGTACAATGACATTTTCAGAATCACTGGTTTACTTATCTTTCAGGTCTCAGTTGAAAGGTCCCCTCCTCCAATATATATATATTCCCTGACAGCTAGATTAAGTCAAATTTTCTCACAATTGGTACCAGCAGTTTGCTGTTCTGCCTCCTTTTGAGTGCTTGGTCAGTATGTATTAAGGGATGGCTGCCCAGAAAAAAATGGATTTTTTTTCAAAGCTATGTATTTAAATTGTTTTACAAAATAATCTTATCACCTTCAAAGTTCTCTCCACTACCCTTAATAAACTTGTCAAATCTCCGATTCCATTCTTGGAAACATTTCTCAAACTCATCTGTTTAGATGGCTGACAGCACCTCCCTCGCTTTTTTTTCTTCACCTCTTCTACATCCTCAAATTGCTGTCCTTTCATGTCCCTCTTCATTTGCATAAACAAAAAGAAGTCCCATGGGGCGAGGTTAGGTGAGTCAGGGCCCTGGAGCAAAAGAGGCGTGCTGTTTTTTGTTTGTTTTTTGCCAAAAACTAGTGCACTGAGGTGGCTATGTGAGCAGGTGCCTTGTCTTGGTGGTAAAACCAGTCTCCCTTCTGCCACAAATCAGGCCTTTTGTGCCACAAACTGTTACACAATCTTTTCAGAACCTCTAAATAGAAAGCTTGATTAACAGTCTGACCTGGTAGAATTAACTCAAAATGCACTACAAGTTGACATTTTTGTCCATTGGGGAAGATGACAGACACCCAGAATAATGAGGCTTGTCATCAATTGACATTTCACCCTTTTTGAAATGGGTAAACTACTTGTATACTTGAGTTTTCCCCATAGTGCTGTCCTTGTAAGCTGTGTTCAACATCATTCATTGTGTTCAACAACATTTTCCCCAAACAGGAAACAAAATGTCACAGTCGCATGCTGTTCTCTTAACTTGACCATCACTAAAAAACGAGGTTCCAGTGAAACTGCTTTCATGAAAAATTCACTGTGACCAGAGAGAACCTTCCCAGGCAACGCCACTGGGTGCATTAACTCAGAGGGATTTGCTGGATGCTCACCTAGTGAGAAAAATGGGTGCTATAAAAGCTCCGCTCTGCCCAGTGCAATTCTGGGTGTTTGGGGGAGTTCCTTCTGGTGCTGCGTGAGCAGCGTTGTTAGGTACTGCTGAGTTGGTTCTGACTCATAGCAACCCTCTGAACCCCAACACCCAGTCCTGTGCCAGCCTCACAGCTGGTTTTATGTTGGCGTTCTTTGTTGAAGTCACTGTCAATCCATCTTGTTGAGGAGCATCTTCCTTTTGGCCAGTCCTCTACCAAGCTTGATGTCCTTTTCCAGGAACCCCAGTCTGAGCAGCTTAGATGAAGTGAAATTCCCTCACAATTGGTTTCAAAAGCTCACTGTTCTTCCCCTTTGTATATCCAAGCACCTCCTGAGAACCTCCAAATTATTGTAGCCTCACACATCTTTTCCAGCAACCGGGATGATATTTTCAAGGGATTTAGCAGATAGCCCAGAGATGCAACTGCGTTTACTTCATGTTTAAGGTGAGCTCTTTACCTCCACCTCCTGGCTTCCTGGCTGAGGTCAAACCTCAGGATGTTACATGATGTGACTTGCACAAGCACAACCAGGAGTACAGGTGGCTCCGGGGACTCCTTGGACACTTGCTCCTTGAGGCAAGTCTTTGGCTAATGGGAGATCAGACCAGCAGATAAATTCTTCTTTCTCTCTTATCTTAGTGTAGAATGGCCTCACATGAGGCTTACGATGCTTACTAGAGGACTGAAGCATGATTTCAAACAACCGGTTACACTAAGAAATGGCTGAGTTGCGGATGCATTTGCTGTAGGCAATTTCTCTGCTAGGTCTCAGGCTGGCCTCTCCTTTCAGCTTCCTGGGATTGTGGTCTCTAACAGGGTCATTTCAGACTAGGTTTCTCCTAGGTGGTGCTTCTTGGGGAACTCTTTCTTTGTTTTTGGTGAGGTCATGCATTATTGCATTCGATCCTCACAATCCACCAGGGAGGTGAATCAATGAATGAGAAAATCCCTATTTGGCTGAGGAAATTGAGGCATAGATAACTTGTTTTATCTGTAGTTTCTCAAATACTCTGCTTCCTCACTGTGGGCTTAGAACTAGCACAAGGCACCACGGGAGGAGTTCCGACTCCTGCCCTCTGTGCTTCTTTCCAAATTCGATGGTGATAAATGTATACGTGCTGCTTAGAAAGAGAACAAAGGTGGGCGAGATCGATTTCTTTCCCTTTGACTATGCCCCTACCCCTGGAAAGGTCAACCTCTAGCGTTTTAGACTCGATCTTTTAGTATTGAGCCCATCTTGCGAAATACAAAGTCATCGTTGTCAGTTCCAGGCTTGGAGCAGGCAGCACATCCACTGAAAACTTCTTCTTTTTCTGAACACAAGAAGAAGGATGCTCATCATGGAGATTAGGGCCCCCTGTATGAATTTAGAGGGGCCTCTGTAACACTCTGGTTCTTCCATTTACAATTGTGTAACCTGAACAAGTTACTTAGCACAAAACTTCCTGAGTTCCCCCATTATTCTATATCTACTTTGTAAAACTTAAGTATGTTTAGTGTAGCATGTAGCCAGTGCCTAATCAATGTTAATTTTTATAAGTGCCCATCTGCTTTTTTCCAAATCTACTTTACAACTCGAGCAAAGAAATGGCCAAAGAAATGGCCTAGTTTGGGCACCCAGAAGACGGCACTCTTGGAAGACACACGACGAGGACAACCAGGGAAGGATGGGGGTGTGTAAAGAGAACACCACATTGCATATTGAGTTGCTGCGGCAAAGAGGATGGAATTAGAGTGGAGAAGCTAATAGGGTACCTTTATAGGATTAAAATGCTTTCAAAGTGTTGAAGACTATAGGGATATTCAATACTAAATACAGCAATTTCTAGTAAGGTGCTGGGCAGTGTTACCACGGGTACCTTTAAAGAAAAAGAAAGTTTAAGAAAGCCTGCTGAACAGAGAGAACGAATCACACAGCAGGGGTGAAAAATAAATAGAAATATGAAATGCTTTAATTCCATACCGCTTGAGGACTTGGTGTTTTATGGTTTTCTGGTGTACAAGAGAAGGTGGTTGTTCCTCAAATTTAAATATCTCCACTGTGGACTCCATGTGGGGATGATTCACAACGTAAAGATACACAGTCTGGTCTAGAACAAAATGAAGGTGTCATTGTGAGAAGTTTCCTTCTTCTGCAACAGTTTCATTACACTTGCTGTGGAACTTTGCCATCTGTAAAGATTTTCCCCCTAAGACAGCTTTCATGATTCTTAATGGCCTGTGAAGGTCAAGGAAATTGTAGACTCTTCATGCTACTGTGGAAATTAAGGCTTGGAAGGTCAGTGATTCCTCAGTCGTTACTACCTACCGCCAAGTGGCAGAGCCACGCCCAGAGTGTTTCTTTTAAGGATTCTTCAGCCTCACCTGGAAACCCTTTCCACTAGGGTGCTGTAACACGGGTGTGGTTTCCCTGGGTGGCCCTTCAACAAGAGAAGTGGGTGCAGGCAAACAAAATTGTGCTGAGTGTACATGTGTGTGTGTGACTTGCCTACATTGCAACACAAGTTCAGAAACACCAGGGCTGTGCAAACATCCTGCATAAGCAACACTTCCAAGGCTCAAGAATCCACTTCTGACTTTTGCCTGAGGTTGCAATAACAGCCTTCAGTGAACCTAACAGATACAGAATGTCAATAGGAAGGAAGAGAAAACAAGGTAGACAACTCCACCGGCCTGACCTCTCGGTTTTTACATGGCAATGTGGGTAGCAACCTGACTTCACACTCCCTTGTTTTCTTCGGCACCCGGAGAAGCAGGTCAGATGGTGTCTGGAGTTTTAGAGGCCACAGTCCCACTTTCCCACTATACCATTGGATCACATTCTTCTTTATTCCTTTCATTGGTACAATTGACAAGCGAACGATGGAGCAAGCCCATGGCTTGAGATGCAGAACTTAGTGCACTGAAATATTTTGATGCAGTTTAGGAAGAGGTGCTCTGAGAGATGGATTTTTTTTCTGGGCTGACTCAGCTTTGAGCCCGAGCCCAGAGGTTGGCCCGGAGGAGTGTGGTCTGGGCCTCAGTTCCCATGAGGCTGTTCAGCACTGCGCTCTGCTGCTCGATCCAGACTGAACAATCATGTGAACTGCCCTGATTTTATGACTTCAACTCCCATGTCTCCACTGGGCCCCTCTTTCATTTCAAATATGCCTGGCGAGAATCCTTTTATACTCTACTTCCTCATTCCATCTTTCTTTAGACAGGATTGTGAGCCAATCTATAAACTAGTCTCATCTGAATAAAACAGAAACAAAATTAAACAACAAAAAAATAAAACTAAAAACTGCTCGAGCACTATCCGATGCAATGAGATGGAACCAAGGTCATGTGATACCCCTGCAAGGGAATCCTTTTAGGTCTGGTATGCCGTCAAGCAGGAGAGTGGTGACTATCAAATTGTTTAAATAAAGCTTGCAGCCCGACCCCACCTCTGGAAAGGCTCACAGTGGTAATCGAAACCACCGGGCTCTCATTCTGGATCTGATATTAAGTAACCACAGAAATATTATGTCAATGCATTTCTCTAAATCCCATTTCGCCCTCTATAAAACAGCATTACTTGGCCATCCAAGAGAACTTCCAACCCTTTTAGCCAGCACTGGTATTCAAGAGCATCCATTCTTCTTTGTTGCTATTATTCGGTGTCCAACTTCAACAGGCATATGAGGCAATTGAAAATGTCATGTTTTGAGTCAGGCACACTTAGTTCTCCAAATGCCTTTAAAGAAGCCTGGTGGCACAGATTTACTCCATGCATACTTGGGACATGTTGCCCATGGAGTCCAATCCCTGGAAAAGAATATAATGTTTGGTGGAGTGGAAGGACAGCAAAAACGAGGACAATCGGTGAGATGGATTGACACAGTGGCTGCAACACTGGGCTCAATCATCATAGTGACCAGGATGGTGCGGGACCAGGTACGTAGCTCTGTGTTGTCCATGGGCCACTATGGTCAGGTCCAACTTGGTGGCACCTACCAACAGCAGTAGTGTCTATGAGCGTTGTTTGTGGCTCCACGTGAGATGAAATCCTTGATAACTTCAATCATTTCTCTGTTTATCATATTACCTATTGGTCCAATTGTGAGGATGTCGGGTCTTCTTCACATTGAGTTGCAATCAAAACTGAAGGCTGTAATCCTTGATCTTCATCAGTAAGTGCTTCCGTGCAATCTGCAGAGAGCAGATTGTGCGGAAGCCTCCCTCCAATCCTGATGTGGTGTTCATTCATTGGTGACTCAAAACTCACTTGGCACTGAGTGGATTCCAACTGACAGTGACCCTATGGGACTTAAAAGAACTTCCGCTGTGGGTTTCTGAGACTGTACATCATTAGGGGAGTAGAAAGCCTCATTATTAATTGTCATTGTTGTTGGGTGCCATCAAGTGGGCTCCGACTCAACCCAATGTACACCAGAAGGAGGCACCACCCTATTCTGCACCATCCTCATCATTGTTCTCATGTTTGGGCCCATTGTTGCAGCCGCTTTGTCAATTCATCTTGTCCAGGACCTTCCTCTTTTTTGCTGACCTCCCTTCTACCTCCCCCCCCCCCACCCCCACCCCCCACTACTTTGCCAAGCACAACCTCCTTCTCCGGGAACTGGTCTCTCCTGACAGCATGTCTAGAGCATATGAGATGAAGTCTCTCCATCCGGTCCTCAAAGGAGCACCTGGCTGTGCTTCTTCCGAGCAGATCTGCTTGTTCTCCTGCCAGCCACGGTCCTTCCCATCTTCTTCGCCAGTGCAGGCACTGAAAGGCATCGATTCTTCTTTGGTCTTCCTTATTGAATGTTGAACTTTCACATGTGTATGAGGCTATTGAAAATACGTAATTAGTAAGACTCGCTCAAAACCAGAAATCAAGCCCTTTGCCATCAATTTTGACTTACAGCAACTCTGCAGGACAGGCTGCAATGATCATAGCAGCTGCTACATCTCTCTCTCCAGAGAGAACCTACTCCGCTGAGCCACCAGCCTTGCACTGAGCAGTGCGGTGCACCACCGGAATGCTAACTCAATGTCAAATCCAAGTGGTCCTGGGCCAGCACCATTTCCTCTTTTCCTAATAGATGCAGGACAAGGTTGCACTTTCCCTCGGCACTGTTAGTCCTATTTCACAAAGTTCATCAGACATGCTGCAGTTGTGCCCGGTTACCTTCTAATGTTTTCTTTACTTTCAGGGAGCGGGGGACACTTCCTTAGAAATCTATTGTTTAAGTTGGCAGATTTTGTGTGTTTTTTATTTCCCCCAAGTTATGTTTCACTTGATCCTAGATAATTATCATGTGTTCAAATACATCCTCTGATTTTAATCTTTGAAAACTTCTTCAAGATTTTGCCCTGGCTAAACTTTTAACAGAAATGTATAAGCCCTATTGCTGGTGAACACAGCATGGATCTCTGTTGTTATCCATGGTCTGGTATACTTTCATTTGTTTGACCTGTTAGCATATGCACTTGTTTAAACACACAGCTCATAAATATGATTGTAATTTTTATGTAATTCAACGGTATCCGTCCTTAATCTTTTCAATTAATCTGTTTGTATTTAGTCTGATTGCTTATATAATTAGATTTTTTCCCCTGTAACATCTTACGCTTTCTTTTATTCCTCACTCATTTTGCTAGCTCAACATCCCTTTTTGATACAGTCGATGTTTTAAAATCTATTATATCCTGAATTGCTTTTGAAGTTAAAGGTTGTAATTAACATGCACTTAAAACACCAGCATCACTACCTGCTCCGCCTGCTGTTACGGAGTTCCTACGGCACGTGAGATACTGCTGTGGACTCCGGGAACCTGGAAATGAGCACGTCTTTCACCCTTTTATGGTGCTTACATTTCAGAGAGGAAAACAGGAAAGAAATAATCCAGGAACCCAAACAAAGTGAAGAAATGGCTTCTTGAGAAGACACTCGCAAGTCGCCAATGTTAAGAGCGACAGCTAAACTTGGACGTGAAAATGAGAAGAAACTGGCTATCTGGCACTAGCAGGAGGTGGAAACAATGGTGGTTTCTTTTATCAACAAACCAACTCACTGCGATCCGTCCATGCTGACTCACAGCACCCTACAGGACAGGGTAGAACTGCCCCTGTGGGGCTCTGAGACTGTCACTCTTTAAAGGAGTAGAAAGTCTCCTCTTTCTCCCCCAGAGCGGCTGCTGCTTCAGATGGACTGACTGTCCAACGTGTAGGCCATGGTGCTGCCAGGACGCCTTTCTTTAGTCACTACTGGACATTCATGACTATTGGGGCGAGTGCTTGTCTGAGGTTGGGTTCAAAGGAGAACTATATTGACGGAGAATACAGGGAGTTCAATGTGACATGAGGGTGGTGAGGAGGCTGCCCTGAGAAAGGGCACTTTGTGCTGACGCCTGAATGCTGAAGGGTAAGCCAGAAGTCGAGGAAAGACACTCCAGGCTGGAGAAAGAGCAGATGTAAAGGCCCTGAGGCACAAAGGACTAAGGAACCCAGGGTGTCTGGTTCAAAGAATCAAGGGTAGAGTGGTATCCAGGGAAACTAGAAGGAACACACTAAGAGAAGGTGGAGTAGAGCCCACAAACCCAGACTGGTCTGCAGCTTTCACCTTTATCGCCAGAGAAGTAGGAAGCATATGGAGAATTTTAGGAAGAGAGTGACCTGATCATATTTTCATAAAATTGGCTATGCAAATGGACTGCTGTAGAACTGGAAACACAGGGAACCAGGACGGATGATCCTTCAAGACCAGTGGTGTGAGTAGCGATACTGGGAGGGTAGAGGGAGAGTGTGTTGGAAAGAGGGAACCGATAACAAGGATCTACATGTGACCTCTTCCCTGGGGGACAGACAACAGAAAAGTGGGTGAAGGGAGACGTCAGACAGGGCAAGATATGACAAAATAATGGTTTGTGAATTATCAAGGGTTCATGAGGGAGGGGGGAGAGGGAAGGGAGGGGGAAAATGAGGAGCTGATGCCAGGGGCTTAAGTGGAGAGAAAATGTTTTGAGAATGATGAGGGCAATGATTGTACAAATGTGCTTTACACAATTGATGTATGTATGGATTGTGCTAAGAGTTATATGAGCCCCTAATAAAATTATTAATAAAAAAACTGAAGAAGAAAAAAAGAGGAAGAGAGGAAGAGTATGCAGGGGACCACAAGGGAGATATAGTAGGGACTTGGACTGAGATGGTAGAATGAAGATGGAAGAGGATAAAAGATAAAAGATATCTATAAAAGTAGATTGGATAGAACTTCCTGGTCAACAGAATGAATAAGCCAGGAGAGAAGGGCGGGGTCAGAGTTGGTCCCTAGAATTTTATTTTGAGCCATAAGTAAGCCTATTACATATGAACATGCTTTTTAAACTGTAAAGCATTAAGCACTTCTTAGGAACAATTGTCTTTTAAAGCAGGGCTTGCTAAGGAAATAAATAGGGGGTATGAGATTCCAAGATCATATTTAGCCTACTTCATAGAACAGCTTTCTTTGAAGCAATGCATTTATTTACAAATGGACAAGTCTGTGTTGGTACACACCTAAGGAAAGAAACAGAGATTGGCTGTCTAAGTTGACAGAAATAATTACCAACCATTTCCTTCTTGTCATTAAAACCATTTGTAGCAGAGTGGCACTGCACAGTATTTTTTAACTCTAGTACATACTCAGAGAGTTCAAAATCCCTTCTCTGAAAATTCTGAATTTCAACACTCCATTTTCCTTTTCCTTCATGTAGTAAAAGTTAGTGAGGTTGCGCTGCTTTAATGTTTCTACAAGCTCCAAGGACTCACGTGTTTTTAAAAATGAAATTAGTATGGCATTATTAATTCTGAACAGGTCAAAGCTAGTAAGAATTACTGTTTAAAAATATACAATGCACTAATGACTATGTTTTCTTTTAAGAAACAGCTTTGTTAAGATCTAATTCACATGCCCTAAAATTCACCCTTTTAAAATATAGTGGTTTTTAGTTTCACAGTTGTACAATCAAAACTACGATCCAATTCCGTAACACTTTTATCACCCCAAAAAGAAACCTCTACCCATTCCCTGTCACTCCCCATATCTCACTCCAGTAGTTCCTATCAACCATTTATCTACTTCTCTCTTGATGAATTTGCCTATTATGAATGTTTCCTATACATGGAATCATATAATACATAATCTCTGGTGATTGGTTGCTTTCAAAGAGCAAAGTGTTTTCGAGATCAGCCCATGCAGCAGTGTGCAGTGGGATTTTCATTCCATTTCATTGCCAACTTCCCTTGCATCACTATACCACGTTTTTGTTTATGCATTCGTCAGTTGCTGGGCATTTGGATTCTTTCCACTTTTAGCTCTTACAAATAATGTTGCTATGAACATTCATACCTTCATAGCAGACAATCACATACTCTCAATTACTTGGGTACATACCCAGGAGTGGAATTGCTCGATCACGGGGTAACTGTCCATTTGACGTTCTGAGGAAGTGATAGGCTGTTTTCCACAGGGCCAGTGGGTTGCTAGCAGTTGCTGTTGTCTGTCTTTTTACCACAACCGCCCTAGCAAGCGGAAAGTGGTGTCTCGTTTTTTGGTTTGGATTTGCATTTCCCGAATGACTCATGAAGAAGCCCTAGTGGTGTAAGCACTGGCATGGCACCCCCAGGTCTGCACTATTCAAGGTCACCAGTTCGCTGTAGGAGAACGTTGAAGCTCTTTGCTTCTGTCAAGGTTTGCAGTCCCAGAAGCTCGGTAGAGCAGGTCTACTCTGCCCTATACTGTCCGTCAGAACCCACCAGTGGCCAAGGGTTGGGGTTTGCAATAACTAGTGATGTTAACTATCTTTCCATAGGATTACTGGCTATTTGTATATCTTCTTGGTAGAAATGTCTTCATTCAATTCACACATTTGAATTGGGTTGAGTTATGAGTTTTCCAAGTATGCTAGATACAAGCCTCTTTTAAGGTGCATACTTTGTGAATGTTTCTCACATTTTGGGGTTATCACCTCCTTTATTCGTGGTAGTCTTGGAAGTGACATTTTAATTTTTGATGAAATATTACTTAACTATCTCTCCTTTGGTTATGCTACATTGCTTTTGTTTGTTTTCGATGTGATATAAGTTTTCTCAAAGGGCCCGTGGTTTATATGTGAAATATCTAAGAACAGGATTCAAGTGGGCTGCCAATAGTCAAACAAAAGGATGGACGAAGAGGAGGATAAAAAGAGATCAATGTTTTATAAACACACATCTTGCTAGAATACACATCTTGATGGTAAAATAGCAGACCCTCTACTTTTCCATACATGTCGAGTTATTGGACTTGTACGGGCTGGATGGCCTTCTTTTCCCCTTATTTTTATGCATTCATATCTTACCTTTGTCAATGAAAGTACTGATCCCGTGTGGATTAAATGATGCTTTGTCAAATCCATCACTGATTTTTAATGCCTGTGCCCTTGGATTTTGCTCATTTAGGTTAATTAAAAAGATTTTTCCTGGTTCATCTGGTGCAAAACTTGGCATGCCTGGATATTTTAATCCCTTTGTAAAAAGAGAGAGAATAGGTAAGCACACATATAAATTTCAAAACATCATTTCCATACTAAAGCTAAAATCTCAAAGCCAAACAACACTCAACACTCAATTAAAAAAAAATCCAGTCATTTTCTACACGGTTAACCGGTCACTACCAAATCTGAGGAGCTGCCTACATCATCTAAGCTTTGGTCATGAATTTGGGAAGAACTAAAATGAGAGAGAAGGTGTGAGGTCAAAGGGTATAACACAAGAGATTCTGATGTGTTTATTTGTGGAGCCCCGTGACCTATCTGTACCTCAAGTTCTTCCTCTAAAACACGAACTGCAACTAAGCAGTGCCTAAGATCTCTCCAGTCCTGATACTCTCTGACTGTCCTGTCCCAAAGCAGAGAGGAGATGAAGGGTTTCCTCTGATTGATTCCATCTCCAGATTGGTTATTTTGTGTAATGGCAAGTATTAGAAGGAAGTCAAGAATTCATGTAGGGTTTGCACTTGGGTGGTACAAATGATTTGTGCTTAGCGATCACCATGATGGTTGGCTGTCCCTTGTGATGATGGGACAGAAGGCAAAGCGGGTGATCTGCTTGGGGCAGATTACAACCAAGAGAATCTGATTTGAACCTGAAACTATGGCCTTAAGATTATCCTTAAGCGATCAACCAAAAATATCCTTAAAGTCTTCTTAAAATGGAGTGATAGTTTAGATGAATAGTTTAGGTCTGCCTTGAGCATTATGCTCTTTTATGGGATCAAATTAACAGCACCAACTCAAAGTTAGCTAGGAAACTTAAGGATCATTGAACTTATGTTAATGAAGGAGGAATGATTCCGCAGAGGAGGATGAGAAAGTTGCACAATCTGAAGAATGTAATCACTGTTTTTTTCAAATCATTTTATTGGGGCCTCAAACAACTCTTATCACAACCCATACACACATCAATTGTGTAAAGCACATTTGTACATTCGTTGCCCTCATCATTCTCAAAACACTTGCTCTCCCTTGGCATCAGCTCCTCTTTTTTACCCCCTCCCCCACCCCTACTCCACCTCCTTCATGAACTCTTGATAATTTAAAAATTATTATTTTGTCACATCTTACACTGCCCGATGTCTCCCTGCCTTCACCCACTTTTCTGTTGTCCATTCCCCAAGGAGGAGGTTATATGTAGATCCTTGTAATCAGTTCCCCTTTTCTGCCCCACCCTCCCTCCACCCTCCCAGTATCACCACTCTGCCACTGGTCTGAAGGGATCACCCATACTGGATTCCCTGCGTTTCCAGTTTCTATCTGTACCAGTGTACATCCTCTGGTCTAGCCAGATTTGTAAGGTAGAATTGGGATAATGAAATTGGGGATGGGGTGGTGGTGGCAGGGAGGAAGCATTAGGAACTAGAGGAAAGTTGTATGTTTTATCGTTGCTACACTGCACCCTGACTGGCTCGTCTCCTCCCCACGACCCTTCCATAAAGGGATGTCCAGTTGCATACAGATAGGTTTTTGGTCCCCACTCCACAATTCCCCTCATTCACAATGATATGATTTTTTTTGTTCTTTGATGCCTGATACCTGATCCCTTCTACACCTCCTGATCACACAGGCTGGTGTGCTTCTTTCATGTGGGTTTAGTTGCTTCGGTGTTAGATGGCCGCTTGTTTACCTCCAATCCTTTAAGACCTCAGACGTTATATCTTTTAATAGCCGGTCACCATCAGCTTTCTTTACCACATTTGTTTATGCACCCATTTGTCTTCAGCAATTGTATCGGGGAGGTGAGCAGACAATAATATGATTTTTTGTTCTTTGATGCCTGATAACTGATCCCTTCGGCACCTCGCGATCACACGGGCTGGTGTGCTTCTTCCATGTGGGCTTTGTTGCTTCTCAGCTAGATGGTCGTTTGTCTAACTTCAATGCAACATGGTGACATGGAGTAGGGAACCAGTAGAGAGGTCTGAGGGGCTGGCTCCAATCCCAACTACATGGACACCTGCCCCGCCCCCCAGAAGAATTTATTTCAGAGGACAGCAATGAAGCTGCAGCTCAGGGAGAGAGACATGTCTGATCAGAGCTCATGGGAGCAAATGAAGGGGGAGGAAGAGAGAGTGGAGCAGGCAGTTTTCATTCTGTTGCACACTGGGAACCTAAGGATAGGCATCTAACACCAATGCCACAGGAGGAGAAAGGATTCAACCGCCGTGGGTGATGTAGAGACCACGCTGCCTATCAGAGGCGGATCCCACTTTCACTTTCCTTATGCTACCACCCCTGTAGGAGCGATCAGCTTGCCCCTCTTCATCAACCTTCCGCACCTCAATTGAGCTGTCATAATTTATCAGCCTTGCTTACTACTTCCTTCTCCAGTTATTTTCCATCTCCTTTTTTCTCTGGACTCGCTCCTCTCTACGGAAAGTCTAAACTCATTGATGAAAAGTAATTATGCCAATATCCAACAGACATTCAACAGCCGATCATTCTAATAGTGTTCATTCGAAAAGCCAATCTATTGCATTTTCCCCCAAGTATATGTTTTACATTTGTTTCTTTCTCCTCTAGCGCTCACCTTTTCTGCCTTTTTATTTTTGATCGTTGGCATCGCCTCCTAGTTCGATGAAAAGATCATGTCATGTTCAGTGAATTTTCCTCCCAGTCTCTCCTTGCTGTCTCAGTGTTCTTTCTTGGCTTTCATGTGCCCAATCCTTTCTCTCTCTAAGGGGGCATTCCCCTTCTTTTCTCCGGTTAATGCCTCCACGAGTCTCCTCGGTTCTTCTTCTCGGGCTGGACTTTCTTCTTTGGCTTGCCCACACACCAGTGGTTCCTTCTTTGACCTGAAAAGTTGCTCAGGATTTTTCTTCCTTGAAACAAATCTTCTAACTTGGTTCCTCTTTAAGCAGGCATGGCTTATCTCTCTTTCTCTTTACCATTAAGTTTCTCGTAAACAGCATTGGATTTTGTAATCTGATTTGAATGGCCTCAATTCTCAATTACTTGAAATTAGTATCTACTGCTGTTTGTTTATAGGAACACCCCTATTGAGATCATATAAATTGCCTCCAAAATAGCTTACTTGTATTTGATAACCTCTCTAATAATTTTCAGGTGCACACCAATAGCATTTAATATGATAACATACCCACTTATTTCTTATTGAAAAGTCAAAGGCAGAATTTCCAGACAACAGAGTTGATTTTCTTATTGTCTTTTGGATTTCTTCTTTCTTCTGCCCTTGTTCTTCCCTCCTTGCTTTATACTCTATATTCAATCTTTGAAGATTTTATTAATACGATTTCAGGCAGTTCCTCTGCACCATTATTTCCAGGATGTTCAAAATCTTCATGTTTAGCGATGGCTAAATACATCTCTTTCTGTCCCTCCAGCTTGCATTCTCAACCTCCTCCTAAGTCCAGCTCAGAATCAGTCGATCAAAACCGAAATTGATAGTCTCCTCTTGGATGCTTCTTGTTCACATCTATTCTTTTTGGCTATGAGCAAAACTAGTCTCCCTGACATCATGTCATAGAATTAAATCTTCAAATCCCCCACTTCCAGGATAGTCAACTTTCCATGAACTCTAGCAACTTCATAGTCAAAATCCACAATAGTCAACTTTCTACCGAGCTCAGTGACGGAAGGAGTGATAGTGAAATAACAAGGTCAGGGTCAAGGTCATCTAAACCCAAGCTTTCCTCTTTCATGTGAGGGAACCGAAGCACAAGAAAATGGCCTGCCTAAATCATTAGCTAGTCATTAAACTGGTTCTCAGGAAGGCAGCTGAAGGGGGGAAACTACAAGCTCCTCTGATGGGTTGGGAGCATGTAAGGACATTGTCAGGGAGTGGAAGGGTCAGATTCGCTGGAAATGAATAGGGAGGGAAATGAAACACTGAACAAACTTGGCCTAGATTAAGTAGAATGTGGAATGAAACTCCTCTGGCAAATGGTTGCATGCTCACCTCGTTTTCTCTTCAAATCTATTGGGCAAGAGTTTATGGCGTCAGTCCCAAGGCTGTGCTAGTGACTGCCAGCAATTCTTTTGAGATTGCTCACTGAAAACAGGGAAAACCATGTGGAGGTGCAGGCATCTTATTGAAAGCAGGGACTGAAAGCCTCTATTACCCATATGCACTATATGGGGGTGAGTCAGAAAGTATAAGCTCATGGAAAACTTCATTAAACAAAAATATAAAAGTGTGAAGCTATTGTTTCTCAATATATCTTCCATATAGGTTTATACACGTCTCAAAGCAATATTTCTCTCTCTCTAATCCTTCCCCCTTCCCCTAAAGAATTCTATGCTCTTGGATTTACACCATGTCAAAATGACAGCATGGGTATCCTTGAAGATGCCGGATTGTGTCCCTTTGAAACGTTCTTTAAGTTTAGGGAACAAAATGAAGTCTGAACAGGTAAGTCAGGGCTGTAGGGTGGGTAAGGTTTCTCAGTGAAATTCTCTTAGGATATCCCTAGTTACCTTCAAAGAATGACTAAGTACATTGCCATTAAAAAATAATAATTCTTAATTCCACTTTTCCTCACCAGTTCAATTTTTAATTTTCTTGAAACTTCCTCATCATTAGACACTATGATCATCCTGTGTTTTTTTAATATAAAATCTATCAAGATTAGCTCCTTGGAGTCTCCTTAAATAACTGATACATACTTCTGAAATGACCTCTGGCTGGAATTTATCCAGACCAGCAGATCACCTATGAAGTGATTGTTTTGATTGGACCTTTTTTTTGGAGATACTCTATGGAGTTAACACAAGGATTTTACTGAAATAACTTGCCTACAACCATCCACTGGTTTCAGAGACATGACTAAATATGTTTTGTTTAGAATAAACCCATGCGTATATGTACCGATACCCTAGTAGCAATACTTTCAGACTTACCCCTCATATTTAGAAAATGTTTGAGACTATGCATGGATCGTGGAATGTGCTAAAGTGTGGACATGTCAGGGAGCACTCCCACATCTGCTGGCTGTTTGAAGTCCAAGAACAAGTGCATCAGCAGGTACAGCATAACAGTTCCTAAGCACAAGGCCTGTGGGAGGCCACAGAAGAGGCGCTCACCCAGCAGAAGAAGGCCAGGGAATACATTCTGGAAGAAGTAAGATGTCATCACAGTGAGATTTTATCAGCGATGTGGGAAAAAGAGTGGAGTCCACAGGCAGAGCACAGCATTTCAGGGACAGTTACGACCTGTTTGCCACCTTGAAAATAGACTAAAAGCGTCCATTGCATGGACTTATGATCTAAATCAGCAGCTTCTAAACATGTTCTAGGATAGCAGAATGGGAGACAGGAGAAACCCAGGATAGCAGGGGCTTGAATTTATTATAGGGCAAAAAGATGGAACGTAAGCCAAGAACATGCTCCTTTGCCTATACCCCTGGGTTGCTTATTAGTTATGAAAACAACTCTATTCATGGTCGAGATTCATGTGAACATTTCTTGCAAAATGATTTGGGATGAGAATCTCTACTTTTTTTGTAGTAATATTTCAGGATTCAGTTCCAGTGAAAATAAAATAAAAGCATGCAGCAGGAATGGCAGAATCAATTTCATAACAGCAAACTAATATTCTAGTTATAGAATAATACTTTTTAAAGGCCTATTTGGCATAACATTAAATGTAAATTGACTATAGAAAATTTAAATCTGTACATAAAAAGCTTGTATAGACAGTGCTGTGTGATCTCTCCTTTTCATGGAAAAGTAAAGGAAAAACATCCTTTCACACACATGACCACCGCCTTCACATCATACATCAGCAACAGTTTAATATCCACTATCCTCTTTTGTAGGGAACTTATGGGGTATGCTACTTTGTCCTATACAGTTGCTATGAGTTAGAAGCAACTTGATTATATATATATATAAATATAAATTTATATATATATTACTTTGAAGAAATTTCAAGCATTAAGGATGGTCATATATGTCCTGTTAGGTCAAAAATATTTAGGTCTAAAATATCTGTTCTGGTGGGGTTTCCCAGGTGAGACAAACAGCCTCATCCATCTCTGAGTGGTTGGTGTGATTTGAGCTGCCTGCCTTGCTGTTAGCAACCCAGAACCTCCTGGCAACACCAACGTTCCTGACGTAGATGCATCTGGAAATCACGTTTCACAAAAAGCAAACGACGTCAGAGCATTTTCCAACAGTTTTTGGAAAAGGTACAAAGTAATACTGCATGTTAATGACTGGATCCTATATCCAAGAGGCATACCTCTGACAACTGTTCTTACTTAAGCCTCCCTTTACAAAAAATCACTGCCATGAGTCCCTGAAGGACAGGGTAGAACGGCCCCTGTGACTTTCTGAGACTTAACTGTTTTAGAATGATCTTGTCATGTCTTCCTCCCATGGGGCTTCTGCTGGTTGTGAACTGACCTTGTGGCTCACAGCCTAATTCGTAACCATGACACCTCACCGTCTCCCAAGCCTCTTACGACTGGCTTATTGTAAGGATAAGGGGCCCCAAAACGTCAGTGGAAAAACTCCATTCTGTGAACTTTTTGAGGCTAGGCGATGGAAAAGGAATTTCACATTAACAATCATTCCAGTTATTAAATTTCTGCTGGTGGAAACCAAAATCTTTTGAATAGCCTGGAATATAGGTTTTAATTGTTGGAGATATGCACTTTAAAAAAAAGTTTAGGTTTAACATGCAGTAAATTTCAATTCTGTGAGTTTTTGACAAACAGCTAATGTAGAGCTGACATGAGATAAGGGTGAGTTAAAAGGTATTGCTATAAAGTCAGAAACCTTTATATTCAATAAAACACCAAAACGTGACGCTGTTGTTTCTCTGCAGAACCTCCATTTAGAATCTGTCTACGTAGGAAGGCAGGGTTGCCATCGCTGACCCTTGCCTGGAAAAGAAGTCTGACAAAAAAATATATAATAAAATATCTGTTCTTTGAAGGTATCCTATTGGCCGAAATGAAATATTATACGCACGATGTCAGTTATAAAATATATGCTTTGAAAAAGTGGTCAATCTTTTCAAACCTGTGCTCCAAATGAGAACGTACTTAACAGATGCACAAAGTTTTCAATATCTTCACAGTCCGTGCATGTTTAGTTGGTTGATTGAAATTCAGTCCCTCAGATAACACCCTCCTCAAAGCATATGAAGGCAGTACTGAGAATAAAAAGCAGCAGGCTCTCCTTTGCTTTAAGAGACCTGAGGAGAAAGGGTGAGGAGACACAGGAAACCGCACAGGGTTTTGAATTCTGTAACACAGTACCATTCTGTCTACAAACACAGACAGAGCTCCAAGCACAGGCAGACACAGCAAGAGGAAGACGCGTTAGCGAGAGGATGACTAACAGGCTGAGGCCTGACCAAGCAAGGGCGATGCCGGGGATGAGAGCAACAAGACAACTTTTAGACACTACTCCAGGAATCGATTGAAAATCAATATGCATTTATTGACACCCTACTGAGTGTACATCTGCCCACAGGAAGGTGCCCGCCATGGGGAAGGCAGGGCTGGGCCTACCTGTGGTGTCCTAAATAGCTCTCCAGAGCCTGTTTAGATTCTTTTTAGTCGCCTGGTTGACCAGGAGGTAGAGAAGTGGATAGGGTCCATCTGGCAGCTCTGGCCAGCAACATTAACACACCGTCTATGGAGCTATTGACATGAACATCTGACAGGCACAGAGAATACTCACACTGGAGATAAAAGCCAGCCCGCTAGGAAGTATCTCAATATCTTCAGAGCCATTTTCTGCAAAGGAATTGTAGAATTAAAAAAAATAGATGCTTGTATGAAGGCTTAAAAATAAATCTCACAGACCAAAGTTTGAACTTCCTTTGGAAATGACAGTGGCTGTTTCAACGACTTCCTTGGGAAGCTATATTAACTTGTAGGAATTCCACAGACATACTACTCTACAATAAAACTTGAATTAGATTCCTCAAACACTGAATTCTTTCTTTAGAAATATATTTTCAGGGGAGAAAGAGGCAAATAACTAGAAAACAAATCCATATGCTAGATTTATTCTTTTGGTAACAACTTCCAGGGTATGTCTGGAGGGAAGGAGCCTTACTCCCATGTAAGGCTGGTCCAATCAATTGAGTGAGATCATTTGGAAAGAGAGTCTACCACATAGGGATTGAGAAACAGCACAAAGCAAGCCCAGGTGACTCCAGTTCCCAGCCTTTTGGCCAGCCTTGATTGGTGCAAATAGACCAAAGAAGAGCCTTCTTTCCTGAGCTTCACCAAAATTGTAGATCTGTTAGCAAAAGAAATACTGTTGTTGTTGTTTTCAGCTAATGTTTTGAGGTGGTTTCTTACACAGCCATAGTAATGAGGACACACGGGAAAACGGTTAGCTGGGGAAATTGGTTACTAGAGTGTCACAAGGCTATAGGGAGAGGGGACGAGAGAGTTCAGAAAATAAAAGCAGACAGAGCCAAAGAAAATGTAAGTTGAAAGCAATAGAAAGGTGGACAATAGGCACGGAAAACTGGAAAGCAGAACATTTAATTTTATTCAGAAACCTAAAATGAATCTTACATTCGTAAATTGAAAATTAAATGACAACAGAACTTCCTCAGCCTTCTAGTTAATCCGATTGCACTATCTCTGGTAACTGGAAGGTCTGAACTACTTAATGCTCTGTACATATCGAGTAGCTGACAAAGCCCACAAACACCCACTTGGCTTGGAGCTGATTCCAACTCCTAGCAAGCCCGCAGGACAGGGTCAAACTGCTCCTGTGGGTTTCGGAGACCATAACTCTTTAGGGGAGTAGAAAGCCCTGTCTTTCTCCCAAGCGTAGCATAGACATTGGGGAAAATCCAGTGAATTAAAGAAAAACAATTCAGAAAATTGTACTCAATACTACTACTTGGTTACTTTTCTGCTGTTTCTCCCACTCCTTTGAATATCCCTGCTTTTATCCCAACCTCTTCCCTCCCTCCTCCTCAAGTGAGGTTGCTCTCCAAGCTTTGCCCATGGTTCTTTCAAGGGGCAGAGCATGGTCTGCTCTGCTGCCATGGCTCTAGCTCCTGCCGGCAGGCTCTTGACTCTCCAGTCTCTAAATCAAGCCTAGATCTTTCTTCCATGTTCCAGATCTCAGTCTTCACATGGATATTAGACCCTTCAATCTGGATTTATCCGTCTAAAGGACCTGGAGGGACCTGGATGCTTTCCCTTTGAATCGGTTTGACTTTTTATTTCTATCTCAATGGCAGATGGAGCACTTCTATCCCCCAAACACCCAAAGCAAAACCTTTGGAATCTCCTTAGTGCCCTTCTTGTCTTACTCCCTGAATCAAATCAATCCCCATGATTTAAGCTCTAGAACGCCCCCCTGGGTTTCTACAATAGCTTCCTCATATGTCAGCTTTACTCCTTTACTTTCATCTTCCGCCTTGAAGACAGAAACATTTTTCTGTTTTCTTTTTGTCCATTGTAAAGTTGACTTGCCACACTCCCCTGCGTAAAATCCTCCAGAGGTGCACCGGAGATTGCCGTGTAAGTCTCCAATTCCTTGGTCTGGAATCTCAGGAAGGCCACATCTTGTTCCCAGACTCTCATCCTTTCACCCCACAGTCCAGCTGTGCTCAAGTACAAGGTCACCGTTTGTGAACGAGGCAGACTCCTCGCCTGCATGCCTGCACATGTGCTGCTCTCTCCTTGGCAAGCCCACACTTTTCCCACTCCGCCCTTACTTTCATCTGGCTGGGTTCCACAGTTCTGACAGATAAGGCTGGAGGCCATTCCCTTGGCCTGTCCAACCTCCCCTGGACCAGCATCCTTTGTATATAGTAATGCTACCAGCTGGGACGACTTCAAACATAACATTTTCACCCTGGGCTGCAACGATCTCTTCTCTAGTTAGGTTCCTACTAGACAGGCAGCTTTCCGGAGATGAACACTGGGTTTATTCAGAACTCCAGCCTTGTTGTTGCGATGTTTGGTGCTGTTCTGTCGAGGTTCGATTGCATATAAAAAATCAGAATTGCTCCATAGATTTTCTGATGCTATAATTTGCATGAAACAAATGCACAGGTCTTTCTCTCATATGGTGTGCTTGACCCTAGCACAATACCTAGACTTTCATTGCAGAAGTACTCAAGCAGGGCCGGTTAATTGAATAAACAGGAAGGCAAAGCAGGCTTAGCTTCTTGTACTTTGTCTAGTTTTGAGGTTAAACGAATGAGTGAGTATTGATTTCTGAGAACAAAATACCCTGAGAGTTGCTTTCTGGGTCGGCTTCTTGTTCCAACACCATTTCACACATCTCCTATGGCAGCATAAACCTAGCTCAATAATCCCCCTATAACAGAAGTAAACAGCTTTTCAGAAGGGCTGTGCCCATTTTAATTTTCACACGCCATCCAGTACACGGGGGGGCTAGAACTTTGCATTCAAAAGTAGGAAGAATGACCTGTGGACTGTACACTCTCCCTGGCCCGCCCCACTCCTGCCACGGTTCCATCACATGCTGGGCCCAGGGCATCCCAACAACAGCGGTGCCTATGAGAGTACAAGCCACAGGGGCATCTTCCTGCGAGTCGTCCACACATACCCATGAGCTCAGCTATCATTAAAATCCCAATGGCATGCCAAAAAGCTGTCTTAGGATGGTGCTTGTTGTTGCTTGCCATTGATTCCAAAGTAGAACTGCTCTATGGGGGCTTTAAGATTGATCTGGCCTGAAGTAGATAAGCAAGTCTTCCCAGGCACCAAAGTAGGTTTAAAGCACCACAGTTTTAGCCAGTAGTTGACAACTTAACCTTTGGTGCCTTGTATAGCTCTACTTTTAAACCTGATTAATTCCACTCTTGGGGATAACTTAATTTCTTTGTTCTTCAACCCAGCCCCATTATGCTGGACTCTACAGAAACTCCAAGAAATAGTCACAGCAAAAATTACCATCAGTTAACATTATCATTGCATACTTTTTTTCTCTTTGCCTTTTTTTAAAAATATCCCCCAAAGGGGTGCACTGATCCTGGAAGTACGGCAATACCAGGTTGATATGTGGAGTGGGTGGAGCAAGCTCCCATTCCAATTCCTTGCTCCAAAAGTCCATTTAATATGTTTTCCTTGGATAGAGGACATATCAGATATTAAACTGATAAGCACAGATGCTACACTTGACCTTAGTCAAGAGGCCGAGAAGCAGTCATCATTTCATCATTTAGAGAGAAGATTCTGATAGCCAGCTAAAGAAAACAAAAGGACTTGCTTTGAGGTGGAAAGGAGCCTTGGTGGTGCAGTGGATTAAGTACTTCGCTGCTACTGCCAGGTCAGCATTTCTAAACCGCCTGCCATTCCCGGGGAGAAAGATGAGGTTGTCTATTTCTGTAAGGAGATATTGTTTTATAGGGGTAGTTCACTCTGTCCTATCGGATCTCCTTGGGGTGAAACCGACTCAATGGCAATGTTTTGTTTTGGGGTTTAGGGTGGAAGCAGGTCTTGGAGTGGAGAAACTACCAAAGGGGAGAAAAGAAAAATTAGAATGTTCCCCCATTTAAAAATTCTTCCCAGGGCAGGACCTAATAATGCTATCCTTAGTTCAAGAGCAGCTTTGGCTAAATGCCAACAGCAGTTAAGTAACTTCCTGATTAAAGCAATCCTTGACCCATAAAGTCTTTCTGAAAACAAAAATAAACTTCACCCAGAAATATCTGGACAAATGAAGTCTTGAAAGAAAAGTAACCTCAATTTCCAGAAAGAAGATAGGGAGAGGAAATCTTTTCTTTTCTTTTCTTTAAAGAAAGGAAGAGTACCTCCGACCAGGAAAGTTAAGAAGAAAATTCAAATCAGAATGTTCCTGCTGCACCCTACTTGGCATATTTTAGTGGTTTTCCATGGCTTATGATAGTTTCATTTGGGTCTTTATTTAAATATCTATCATGCCATTTCAAGTTTTTGGTCAGTCTCTATTTATGAATACTTCAGTTTTGCTTTGTTTGTCTCTGATTTTCTGTTTGCTGCTGCCGTGGCACGTCTTTCCTGAAGCTTCCAAAATCAAACTGTGTTGTCGGTAGATAAGCGAGCCAGCGTGGCACATCAGGCAGAGGAGGGACAACAGCACGCTGGGTTCATAATATAGGCAAACCACTCACTCATTCTGGGCCATTGGGCACCTTAATTATCCTGTCAGTTTTCTCATCTGCAAAGCCCAGATAGCAGCCCCCACCACACAGAGCAGAGGGAGGAAACGTGGAAGGTTGGGCAGGACTCAGCAGGGGCTCCAAAGACAGTAAACCTTGGATAAGGCACCTGTTGTTTTGTTTGGTGTGTGTGTGGGTTCCCTAGTAGTGATACTTTTATCATTTCTCCTTGAATGGCATCATCCTTCATGTCCTCTGTGGTAAAATATAGATTATAAAACACAAATCATCTCTGTTATTTTTAAGTGTACGATTCACTGACATGAATTACAATCACCATGTTGTATGGTATTTACCACTGTCCACTCAGACTGGTTTCATTGCCCCTCTCTGAAATCCAATACGTCTTTGACAAAAAGTGCCCCCCTCTCTCCTTTCCCAGCCTCTGAGAGCTGCTAATAAACGTGTTTCTCGGTGACTAGCCTGCAGTTGCTGTCAGTGGGATCCTAGGATCGTTATTTGATTTGTTGTGCAGTGAGCTTACTTCACTCAGTCCAGTGTTTCTTCCTTGTCATCGCGTATCTCAGAATCTCACTTCTCTTGATGAATAAGACTTCCTTGGCACCACCTTTTGTTTCACCATGTGTCCGTTGAGTGACGCTTGGTTTGTTTCCACCTTCAACGATGGTGAAAAGTGTCGCAATGAACCTTGATGGAGAGATATCTGCTTGAGGCTTTGCTTTCACATCCTTTGGGTCCATGCCTTGATGTGGCCTTGCTGGACCACATGCTAAGTCTATGTTTAGCCCCTGAGGAAAAGCCTCAGCAGTTGCATCATTTGATTTTTCCCAGGAAGACAAGGTGGCTCCATCAGCATTTGTTAGACCCTTCCTTTTTTGTTTAAGAATTGCTGCCTCAGGTATGGAAGTGGGCTCCCCTGGTTTTCTTCCTATCTGGGCAATCATTAATGAAAGAGCCCCCTCGGTGGCACACTCAGTCCTAGAAGGTCACAATGAGTTGGCGTGGACTTGATGGGAAAAGTCTTAAGGACGAATGCTATGGAGCACCTTTCCACATACTTAGTGGCCCTTTGTAGATCCTCCTTGGGAAAATGTGTATACAGATCCTTTGACATTTTTTTAAAGTGTTGTTCTTTAGTTGTTGAATTAAATGTTTATTATGTTTAGAGTTATAGATCAATTTTATAGCTTGATAAATGTTCCATAATCATGCCAACTTGCTTAGTTCTGTAAATATATGCCAACATGCACAAAATATAACCTGGCCCTTCTTCAACTTTTCCTTCTTCTTTTCCTTTCCCTCCTCTTCCTCCTCCTCTCAGACAGCTTTTAGTTTAGCCATTGAAGTAACTGTATTTAAAATATTTGGATAATCAGAGATTTGGCTTAATTCTTATAACAATAACTTGCACTTAAGCTTCTCGTCTCTAGTTGAATGTTAGAATTTGAAAGACTAGACATAAGTAAAATAATTACTCCCCTTAAATTACTTGGAAGACTCATATTTTTGGAGAGGTGCATATGTAGCAAGTATGACTAAGATGGTACAAAACAGTAAATGCATGTATATCATTTTGTTATTTTAAAAATCAGATTAAATCTGACCTAGAGCCTACTTTCCACTAGACTAATTTAAGTGATCACTGGGTTCCTTTGCTAGATGGGACAAACCAAAAATCGAAAAATCCCTGCCAATGATTTGATTCTGACTCACAGTGAGCTTATAGGACAGGGTAGACATCCT